ATATATATATATATATATAAGTATTGTCGTTGTCATAATGGCACATTCAGTCCAGAATGCAATCTCTGCAATACATCTGGAATTGAATGATTCAATGTAAATTTGACCAATCAGAAGCAACCTGAACTGCACATCGGCATCCAATCGGTATCTAGGGCCATCACTAATTGGATAAGAATCCATTCGAATTTTTCCACGTGAAAATAGTATTGTTTCATTCGATAATAAAGATGTCATCTGTTTACATCCATGTTAAATATTGCAATAATATTGACATGCAACACCCACATCACATTTTGCGTGTTTTTTCCAATACCGTGCAGCCCTATTTTAAATACATAATACATGAAATCTTTGAACATCATTTCAATATCTCAAGGCCGGGCTGGGTGTCCTCTTTTTTTGTAAATCAAAATATGGTCACTCTAATATATTGTTACCATACGTCTCTACATCCATGAGACACACATCCACACGTTGTGTAACAGACATAAATTGTTTTTGAATGTCCATCCGATATAGTCCACCTGCCCAAACATGGCAAACCTCCAGCCAACTCAATTAGAAACACTGCATTACCCGTCAGCCTTGTTTATGTAATTAGCTACAGCCAATTGAGCGTCCAATGACTCAGAAAAACAAGGAAGTTAAACACACCTATCGAAAGGGTGCTATTCAGTCAAATAAGGTGTAAGAAAAGCCTTTGGTCATTTAACCTCTTACCGATAGACTGTAATATTGATGAACAATCGTCCTGATCCTCGCTTCAAACGGAATACATTGGCTTTCAGTGCCTGTGCTTGAAACGGCACATATACCTCAAATTATTTTCCAAAAGTTGAATCATGAAATTTAATGTTGGTTGCTTTTGTTCTGGCATTAATTAAATTGAGGCACTGACAGTTGGAGTGCGACCTGGTTTTTGATTCGTTCGTGAACACAAACACAACCACACAAAGTGTTCTCTGACCTGCAAGGAATGGCGAGCATAAGTACTCACATTAGCTTGTGCGACTGAATTAATGACAATGTATTAGCAAAGGTAGGACTGTGCCAAAATGCTGCTGAGTAACTGTTAATGTTCCCGATGGGAGGTTTTAACAGTGAGACCAGGATCTGTAATGATCTAGCATTACAACCTTTCAGTTCATTTATTTGTTCCTGGGGAGGACGCATGTAGATGGAACATTGAACCTCCGCAAAGAATGATGCAGACTCACATTCAAATGGGAAACCTCTTGCTGTGAGGCAAAATGCACGCAGCGCTGCCTTCCAGAAGTGGCAAAATTATACACCATCTTCATTGTGGTGCGCTGTACGACATTGGCTTCTTTATATACAGTATATTATGCATAATATAGAATACAGATTATACAGTGTGTCCCATAAAGCTCCATACATAGGAGAAATAATATATTCCATACTTATATGATTCTAACATTTATTTCTTTTTATTTCAGATAAACCAGAGAATGCATTTGAATAAAGAGCAACAATCATCCTGGTGGCTGGTTTGGCAAGCAGTCATGTGGTGTATGTCAAGAAACGTTTAGTTTTCTATATATGGAGATTTATGGGACACCCTGTAGATCATTATTTATTCATGTGTGATTGTTAATCCCCCATGTTGGATTCCGGTACATTCAAAATTCTTTATTATGTTCAACTTTCTGAATTCTGCACACTGCATTTATACCAAACACTCAGAACCAACACACAACAACTGATACGGCTTTGGGCCATGGGTTCATCCATCCATCCATCCATTATCTGATGTGCTTATCCTCACAAGGGTCGCGGGTGTGCTGGAACCTATCCCAGCTGTCTTCGGGCAATAGGCGGGGGACACCTTGAACTTGTTGCCAGCCAATCGCAGGGCAGACATAAACAAACAACCGTTCGCGCTCACAATCACACCAATGGGCAATTGAGAGTGTTCCATTAACCTGCCATGCATATTTTGGAATGTAGGAGGAAACCGGAGTACCTGGAGAAAACCCACACAGACACGGGGAGAACATGCAAACTCCTTCCACCTTCCTGGGTGTTCACCAGAAGTACAATATGACAATACTTGATGATTCTGTGTAGCTATGTTGGAAATGTGCTTTTATGTTCAAAGTTGCTAAGTTTAGAGCATCATTTCTTCATGAATATTGAAATACACGTTTGCGGTATTTGAAATTATGGGTGAGGACTGGAATATCTGGCATACTGTGCAACTTTGATTTTGACCAAGGGAGTGTTGATGGGAGGAGAGTCAAATCTGAGCTTGGACTGTCAGGTGATGTTGTTATGAAGCTGGCCTCCACTCTTTCTGAGGGTCAAAACTACAGGATCTACTCAGACAACAATTTCACCAGTGTCCTATTGATGGACAAGCTCCGTGATCATGGAATCCATGATGCGGTAACAGCCCGAGAGGTACGCATACCCAACTGTAACCTTCAGGACGACATCAGAGGCCAACTACAATATCTAAGTGGTTAAAAAAAGTGTTGCTCATTTGTTTCTCTGTCTGGGTCTGGAAAGGTTTAAGCGGGGTCTGTACACTGGAGTTTGCTTGATGTTGCTGTAAAGATGGTCAAGATGGGTTTTTGTTCCTCTCGCATGGGACATGCGACATGCTGGTAAAATGTGAGCAGGACGTACTTTAAGTTGCTTTTGTTAAAGTCACCTGCTATCACAAAAACACTCAGTTTGGGCCCTCTGTTCTTTGCTAATGGCAGTTCGGAAGTAGCCCAATGCTGCCGTGGTGTTAGCGTTGAGATGTACTCACTACAGGACTTCGCTTTGATACATTACTAAATATACACTGTCATTTCTTAAATTTGAAAGGAAACATCCTAACATATCTACCTGGCTGAATGACTTGTACCACAAAAGTTCAAGAAAGATGTTATAAAGGTTAAGAGGCGCTTAGGAGATCACATTTTTTTCCAGGGAGCTTATGTCAAGATGTTGATTGGACAACGAGGAAATCTGAGTTCTGCGATTGATTGCTCATCCTGAATTTGCGCGTTGAAAATTTGAATTTTGATACGAAAAAACAGAATGTGAATTGTTAAGCGAACTAAATCTGTGTGGAAAAGTTTTGATTTACATTTGTGAATCTGAACATGAAAAAGTATACAGGATTGAATTTTTGGTGAGCAATTCAATTTCAAATTGTACAACTCAGATTCAGTTTTTAAAAGTAACGATTCAAATTAATCAATGTATATTCAGTTTATGTAATTCCAATTCAGTTTTTCAACACACTTAAATTTAAGTTTAGTGATTCAAATTCCAAACCAGATGATTCAGATTCAGTTTCTGGTGGCACA